AACATCATCTCTTGTGACTTCCGTATCCGCTATAATTCTTGTACAGCGTTCCTCGTGATGTTTGTGCCACCACAATAAACTTATTTTAAGTAACATGATCCAATTAATATGCATTACCCACATGATATACATGGTATGAAAACCACGTGCCCGTCGAATGATTTGTTGCGCACGTTACTTAAAGTATCAATAAAATAACCTATCAACAAAAAGGATATTTTTGCTTACTGATCTCATGTGTTAACAGATTATTATAAAAAACAAAATTATACTGCTCCGGACTTACAATGGTTCCCTTTTCCTAGCATATAATTTAAGTTACATTCATGAAGAGATGCAGATAAAAAAAATAATATTATTACAAAGATTTCAAAACTTTTAAATTTGTCATGCTTAAAAGTAAAATGAATAATTTTCTAATTTATCAGCTAATACTGCTTTTGGAGAATAAGTCACGTTGAATGATTAACTACAAATATTTTTTTCGTAACTATAAAAACAGTTGGTTTTTATCCATCTCAAATTTTCATTTTCTGCTGTTATCTTTCAAATTCACTAAAAATCAATTAAACAACAAGCGAAAATATTTTTTTATTAAATATAATCTTTAATTGATTTTGAGTAGATCTACTTTACTTACTTGGTAATTAAACAACCTTTATATTAATCTTACTTTTGTTTTCATTATAGTTATCTTATATTATTAATGACAAAACTTATATTCATTTATATTAGTTTTATTCAAAGAAAATGGGTTCAAGCACTATATTTAGTAATGAAAATAATAACTACGACAATAATAATAGGCCAACATCGTTTGGACGAAATAAAATAGGGGAACATGGAAATAATTGTTACCGTCATTTATTTATTAAGTAGATTTTGTTACTATTATTTTATATTCAGTCATATTATTATATTTAACCTAAAGTTTTGTATTTTAAAATAGAATTACACCGTGAAAATTGCTTGTTCTATTCCAAAAGTCAATTTCATCGCCACCACTACTATAAATAACGCCAATAATAAAAATTTAATCAAAAAGGTTAAATTCTCTAACTTCATCAAGATCTCGGATGTAGATTCTATTGATGATTATGATCGCTGTGGCCAACTTGGTCAAAAAGAAGAGAACTATAAAATCGATGTGTGGTTCACGGGTGAAACATTAGCAAAAACGAAATATAACATGGGAAAATGCATAAATAAATATATTTCTGATTTAAATTATCTTGTATGTTATATTATTATATTATTACAATTTATAAGAAATTGATTTGAAATATTTGAAAATAAAGATAAACAAGAATATATATAACCATGAAGAAGTAGGTGTGGCATTGAAAAATGTCAACCGAAAAGTTGAAAGATTAAGAGATAATGTAGAGGAATGTCGAATTTTAGACTTAACTAATGGTAATTAATTTCAAATTTGTTTGCATTTGTGTTTTATTTTATATTTTGAGATATTTATGAAATATAATGTAATATAATTATTTTTAGAAACATTTTATATGAAAATTTGAATATGTTTATTGGAAGATAAAGTCTTATATTTTTTATATTTTTTAATTTCATAAATGTGTAAATATACAAAAGTTTTTTTTTTATTTCTAAAATTTAATAACAAAATATTCAATTTTTTCTTCATATTTTTTAGTTCAATTCTTTTTCTAAGTGAATTCCTCTATGCGTTATCTATTTCAACTGTGATAATAACATATAAAAAATTTTGAAATGATTAATTTCGAAATTATAAGGTGAGAACGAGAACAATTAACAATGTAAAATGATGGAAAGGGAACATATCTTGGCAAATAAATTAAGTATTAATAGTTCATTCTTTCATTGTAAATAAATAAAATAAGCAACAAAAAGAATCTTACATTTTAGGATTGCTTTCTTTTTTTTTAAAAAAAAAATAACTTATTATCAGATAAAAAATTTAAGTATACGAGAAATTTGATCTTGAAAATTCAGTCAAGCTCTGATATTCTAAAGTTACGTTCCGTTTAGCAGGAATTTTATAACAGGGAGACAATAAATTATAATTCTTAAAAGGCATTAAATTAATGTTTTAAAACTTGTATAATATTTTCAACATATACACATATTTAAATGTAAACAAAAATGAAAAAATTTTGGGATCCAAATTCTCTTTACAAAATTTGTTAACAATTTCTGTATTACCTATAGCCCCAACCACTGTATAAGCAATATCACCTGATTCTTCATTTAAAAGATCAGGTGTAATCTTATAATGTAGGACGTGGAAACTCGAGCAGTCAAATCTACCTTCAAAAAAATGAATAAGTTTAATAATTTCAAATATCCTAATTTACGGTATAAGCACATAAACGGACATAATTTAAAAGTTTTTTAAAAGTTTTTTCCTTCGTAAGTCTCTTAATTCCGGATTATTAAGACTATTAACATTTATAACTAGTATATCAACATAACATTCAAGTACATAATTCAATAATTCTCATGATTCTTATAATTTTATTACAGTATATTAATGAATTGGATGATCAATATAGTCACTATCACTATTAATTATAAAAACTATATAATTTTACAATTAGATAATTAACTTTAATAAAGAAGATTAAAATTTAATGTTTCAAAAATAATATAATAAATTTATTTTATTCATTAGTGCAGAATACAATCTATTGAATAATTCATTTAAATCCATTCTCTACATGTCGAAATATTAAAAATGACAATAATAATAATATTAAATATTTCATATTATATATTATTTTTTTATATCATAATATTTATTTTTTTTATTTGTTTAATAAACAACCATTAGTTATTTATATATCATACTAGATTCCGTAGTCCTAAAAACGACTAAACAGTAAACGATGAAAAATTAACTTAGACATATCCAAAAGCATTTTCATTATAAAGATTATTATTTAGTTATTTCATCAAAGTTGTTATAAATACAATAGACATTTTGGTTTTGTATTCAAATTTCATTATTTATTCTCAAAAAAAATCGAAATGTAAAATAAGTAAAAAACATAGTAAAATAACATAATGTAATAATAAAAGAAAATCAAAAAAAAAATATAATAATAAAAGAAAATAAATTTATAAAACAAAATTCTTAAGAAAAAAATTCACTCGTTTCTACCATTTGCACTGGGATGTGGTTAATTTCGAGCCGAGGGAATTGCATCCATTATAGCGTTATAAAACTCATCAACTGCCTTCAAATTGGATAACTAAATAAAATAAAATATTATGAATATAATAAAAATATAATAAAAATAGAATTACATAGTTACAAATAACAAACCTTAATTGCAAGATGAACAAGTATATCTCCCTCATAAACGAACAATCTTAAAAATTTCTCCTGTCTTTCAATATACATTCTGTTAAACAATGTCACGTTTAGAATCACTTTTAATATGTTATCAACGCACATTACTATAAATAATTTATTAAATTTTCATTAATATTATAATATTGTTGATAAATAATCTCAAATTTATATTTGAAGTTTACCTAAACGTGGAGATTTTTCATTGTTTTTTGAATAATTGAGTTTTATAAAACCAACACCTCTTTCTTTCCACTGCTCCTCCATACAGTATAATTTCGCCTGAACTGTATATCGTGTAATCTCATCCTCTTCCCCTGTTAATACTAAATAATTAATATGAAAAAAAAATAATTATTATTATCATACCATTATTTTATTGTTATTAATATTATCAATGTTTCTACCTTCTATTTCTTTTAATAATCTTTTTTCCTTATCATTTTTATTTGCGTTCTCTCCTTTAACATCTTTCTCTGACGAAGGTTGCTCATCAAAAATATTTTTTCGTGAGCTTGTACTGGCAAATGAATTTTCAGCATATTTTGTTCCCGATCCAAATATGTTTTTATTTTGAGTTGAGGTAGGAGGAGACCTCTCGATTTTTCTTTTTTTGTTTGGTAGTGTTATTAAATCAGAAGGAGATAATGGTCTGTCTCTTTTCATTTTTGATTAAATTTTTTAACAAAATATATGATTTATATGGATTTATTTTTAGAGAAATTATAATAATGTGAAAAATTAATGGTGTGAAAAAAAAAAGGGGGAACGAATAAAAATTGAAACCATTTTATAATTTTTGCCTTCTATTTTTTACTTGGCATCTGATAATTTTTTCATTACAGATTTTATTATTTCACATTAATATTTTCCTTTTTTATTTTCCACAATAATAATATGTGGATCATATTATTTATTAATATGATTGTTAAATATTTTTTTAATAAGATCATTAAATCTTTCTATTAAATTCTTTATTCTAGACTTTAATTAGAAATATTTATATTCAATTTATAATTAAAACTTTAGTATATTTTATTAATTATCGCATGTTTGTTTATGATTAATATTATTATCGGTCAGTAAAATTGATGGTATATTTTATTATAATTGGTATTATTTGTCACTATTATTAAGATTACTATTAAAAAATTTTTAAAGATTACATCCGATTTTTTAGTCATATAATAAAGATTGATTATTTTAAAATAGTTACAATTATATAATAATTTATTTAACTAAAGTTTGTAAAATTAATCTAAATTGTGAAAATATGATCTGTCTTGTTTATAATATAATTAAATAAAAAATTAATTAATATAAATGAATTGCAATATATTGGTTCATCAAAATTATAATCAAAAGCTTTTCTATTTCTATTACCCGCATGGTTCAATGAAACAGTCAAATTTTCCTTCCCGATGATTCAATAGATAAATGAAACTGTAATAATACTTTCAACTATCTAATATAATTTATATTGATGAAAATAATATGGGTACAATATCATGTTATCTTTTATTATAATACATTATATCAATAATTAATCTGATTTACTCAAGCTGTTAAATTCCCAAATTAGATAGATGCATTGGCTAATGAATTTTTTTTTTTCACCCGAAAGCATACGCAACTAATCTTTTTTTATAATGTAAAGAAACAAAAAATGAATAATAATATAAATCATATTTATTAAATTAGGCGTTGGGCTGAGCTGAAAAATAACTTATTCTACTTGGCCAAAAATGGATTTTGGACATGGGTTTCGCAAAAAAACTTTTTGCTAATAATTATTGATTATTAGTCTGATGCAATCTTAGTTATTATTAATAATTAGTCTGATGTACTCAAGCTGCTAAATTACTTTAATTAGATAGATTGGCAAATAAATTTTTTTTAACCAAAGCACATGCAATCAATTTTTTTTTTTATAATATTAAAGTAATGAATTATTTATTATGAGAAACAAAAAGAATAATAATTAAATTATGATTTCTAAATTAGACGTTGGGCTGAGCAGAAAAATAACTATTTATTTATTATTATTTTTTCACAAGGACCTTTACTATACAGGTTCAAAATGGATTTTGGACATGGGTTTCGCAAAAAAAATTTTTGCTAATAATTATTAATTATTGATCATTAGTCTGATATTCAAGCTGCTAAATTACCAAATTAGATAGATTGAATAATGAATTTTTTTTTAACCGAAACAAAGTATAAGAATTTAAATCATATGCAATGACTTTTTTTTATAATATTAAATTAATAAAATATTTATCGATAGGAAACAAAAAAAGTATAAAAGTGTGAATAGAAGAGATTCGTGAAAAAAATTTAATCTCAAAATTCTTAAATTTCTAAAATTTTAAAAGAAATATCAATTCATTATTATATCAAACCAAGATTTTAAAAGAAAATTACGTTTAATTATTATATTAAAACAAACATTTAAAAGAAAATTTAGTTCGAAATTATATTAAAAAAAATTTTTTGCAAACGAATTTAAAAATGGTTTCATCAAGCCAACAACAACAATCCCAACAACAACAATTCCAACAACAACATCAACAGCAACAGCAACCGTCACAACAACAGCAACAGCAACCACCACAGCAACAACAGCATCAACAATTACCGCAACAGCAATCTCAACAGATCCAACAATTTCAACAGCAACAACAGCAAAGACAACTCCAATACCAATTGCAGCAATTTGGCAGATATTATATTCAAGAATACTGCCAACCTCAATTAGTGAGTGAAAAACTTAAGTTTCCAAAATACTATCATCAATTCAAAATCAAAAATAGGCAACATAAGGTATAAAAGTTCATTTCGGATTTATATATTTGACTTTTTTTTTTATTTTTTCACTTATTTCGATTTTTTTTTATAGCTGCAACAACAACAGCAACGACAAAACCATAATCCTATTGGGGTATTACAATATCAACAAGGGATTCGAAGAATGTGCCAAAGAAGGTTGCAACAATCCAATCAGCAACCACAACAACAACAACCACAGCAACCACAACAACAGAATCGTCCAAACTCTAATAATAATATCAACAATGATGTTGATAACAATAATGATAATAATAATAATGATATCAATAATACTGAAATCAATAATATTGCTGTTGAAAATAATGAAAATAATGATAATAACACTAATAATGGTAATAATAACAAGAGGAGTCGAGGTAAAAATCTTTTCCTTTATATATATATTTTTTTTCAAAAAATCGTGATTGATACTAATTTATTTTTTAATTAGATGACGATGACGATGATGATGTTGCTATTGACAATCATGCCGGAAAGAAGCAAAAACTTTAAAATAATTTTTTATATCTTTTAATTACTTTGAAATTATTTTATATATAAGCAATTTTTATTTTTTTAATATATGATTTTAAATAAATGAAATAAATAAACAAATGTCAATAAAAATTTAAGATGTTTATTCCTTTTTTAATGTGAATTAAAGATTTTAAACATATAAAAATTAATCTAATTCAAAAATCTATGAATAAAAATCATAAAGATATTTTTCGTTCATAATATTATACTTCTTAACTATTGATTGCACAAGTTATAATATTAAGTAATGTTATTTAATCATTATTCTTTTATTTTTATATTTATTTTTATTTTCACTTATTTTTTTTCCTTATAATATTCTATAACACATTTCCTAATTAAATAAATACCTATACATAAATATTGTTTAGGAATCATTGAAATAAATTAAAAATGAAATAAAAAAAAAAATCCAAAGTTGAACGATTTTAAAAGAAGAAGTTAGAGAAGGAGAAATATTTTAAGACGTCGGCTGATGAGTAAGTATAAAGTTCATGTGATTTTACTTCATTATTTATGATGAATGGATTACGTGTTCATATGGTGTTACCAAACAAATATGATGTAATATTATTATTAATTATTACATCAGATTTGATAGTTTAAATAATTAATAGTAATTATTTTATTGGATTTGAATCATGATAGTACAACACAGAAAAAAAGCATAATACCATGTGTAAGGTTTTTCTAAATCAGGCAATATAATAAAGGAAATATTATGCATCTTATCAAAAAAAATTAGTTAATAATCATCATGAATAACGCAGAAAAATTCATGATAATTATTAGCTGATTTTTTTTTTTGATAAGATGCATAATACATAAAATACATAATAATTTATTTATCAAATCCGATGTAATAGTGTTAATAATTATTATTTATTGCACTAGGTTGATAATTGTAAGTAATTAATAATAATAAAAAAAAGCATAATATCAATGTGAAAAAAGTTTAAAAAATAGTTTAAAATGACATAATATGATACCATTAAACAATATAATTAAGGAAAGATTATCAGAAAAAAAAAAGTTTATCAAATATAATGAAATTGATCATGGGTACTAATGGAGGGGTTACCCAGTTTATATGTACCATTTGACAATATAATTAAGGAAAGATTATCAAAAAAAAAATTTTTCCGATTATCATGAAATTTTGTCATGGCACTAATGGTATTTGAATGGGGATTATAGATTACTGTTACATAATCATATTATTATAATAATCAAATTATATATGAATACTTTACATAACATTATAAATTATTATAAATAAATAAATATATATGTAGGAATCAATTGAATATCATTACAGTAAGATAATTCGAAAATTTATACAGTTTATCTTTATCAATTATCTTATCATACAAATATTTATTATTATTCAATTATCTATTGTCAATTTATTTTATTAAATGGGCTGTGATTATTGGTAATAACGTTAATCAGACATTTATTTTTTTATTAGATTACGTAGTTGAATAAAATCATAAATTTAAATTATTTATATAGAAAGACTATAAATTTAAATATTTTATATAGGAAGAATAAATAAATATTGTATTAGATGGATGATCCATCTACTGTAACACCAAAATTTGCTTTGATAATATATATATATACGTAGTTGATATCAATTAATTCAAAACTATCTATCAAACTGGTAATCATATTTAGAATTAAAGAAGCACATAAATTTTTTGTATAAGAATTATCAAAAAAGGAATATCAGTAATTGTATACTAACGGGGATATTAATTTGAGGTTGGCGTACATATATATTATTTATAGTAGTCACAGAATATTTATTTATTGATTACACAGAAAAAAATTTCATCGAAGCACATGAATTTTTGTATAAGAATTTCTAAAAGTCAAGTATTATTTGATTCACCTTATCAAAAAAGGACTGTCAATAATTGGAATTTGTCATTAATCAAAATTTTTTTGTGTTACATAATATTATATCAAAGAAATTTTTATATTATCGATATCAAACTCATCAAACTGGTAATCATATTTATTGATTACACAGAAAAAATTTCATCGAAGCACATGAATTTTTTGTTTAAGGATTTCCTAAAAATAGCTAAAAGTCAAGTTCACTAATGACTCTTATGACTTTTTTGCCAACAACGTTTTATTTAACCAATTATAGCTTTATTGTTAAGATGTAGTAATCTTCCACTTTAATAATGTATTTAAAAAATGATAATTATTAATCAGTACAATTTTTAAGTTATCTATTATTATTTCGATTCATCTTATCAAAAATGGACTGTAATTTGAATTTAGTCATGGGTTCTAATTATTATAACGAATTTGAGGTGATAATGATATTGCATTAAAAAATTTTTGTTACTCAGACTTAAAAAAAATTTACACATCAATTTTTCTATAAATAACCTCAACTTTGAAATTTTTTTTTAAAAAAAAAAACTCTAAACACTTTCCCACCTGCAATCAACAACCTCAAAATTTATTATATAAAAAATAGCACTTTTATCGTTCTACTCATTTAAACCGTACTACACATATCTTTCTTCTTCGTATTTTACTTTCACAATGCAAAACACTAAAAGAACAAAATCAACCACTGCAGCCTTGGCCGTGCTATCAGCAAATATT